CTTGGAACAAAATATATTTGTGAATTCTGATTCTCAAAGTTCTACTCTAATGTTTACCTAGAACAGTCTCAAGCATTCCTGCAAGATCAAGGCATGCAAGTGTGTCTTCAGACAATGGAATCGAAGGAGAAACAAACCAAGCAACAAATGCAGAAACACTTCCTTCTTAGGAACATCAACCATCTACTCAAACAGCTGGGGTATGTTTCTTTCAAAATGTCAAAACTGTCATATCATAATCCAACTACTACAAACCACCCTGAACTTACAACTGGTATTGCTGACACCTTCATAAAAAAAATGGCAGCTGGTGTGTTGGTGCTGTGTCTTATTTGTAGATAAGCATACTCTGTATTTTCATTTATTTATAATCAAATATCCATATAAGAGACCAGTCAAGTGTCACCACCCATCAAACACACCATCCTCAGAAGGAGTCCCACATTGAAAAATATTTTGATCACCTCCTTGAAGAATTAAAAAATCATTCATAATCTGCTTGTAACCGAAACCAAAAACTGAACCAAGTCTCATCCACTCCAAAATGGAAGCTATCAGTCAAGATTAAGTTCGTAAATTCGAGAAATTATGGCATCCCTGGATAAAACATTGCCTACCACTAATTTTGATGAATTGCTACTACTGCCTTCATAGATCAACCTTTGTGCCTTCCACTGGCTCTCCATTCCATGCTATTAGAGCTATTACGACCCCTGTGGATGTCTCTCTACTTAGTCCCCCATTCTGTTTTGCTTTCCCTCTCTTTCTTCCACTTTTTTTCCCCCTCACAACCCATTTTCTCCTTTCTGACTTTCCTCTTCCGTCAGTAATGGTATTGTTCCCAACCAAGTGGTTTATCTCTAATTACCCCAGTTCATAACATCTGGTCTATCTATTGTGTTGGCTATGCAGACTGGCATTCTACAGCAACGTTTTTGCCTTTTTTTTTTTTAGATAGCCCCTTCAGCAGCTTCGTAAATAGTAGCATTATGTTTGCTACATCCTGCTAGTATTGTCTTTGTACTCAAATTATGCTTTCCTCATTCTCTCACCCCTTCTCTGAGCTGATGTATGACTATGTCCATTTCTGTACCATTTACTGTACCAGAATTGGTTCTGTTATGTTTAACCACTTCAAATCCGGACACTTTTACACCCTTCCTGTTCAGGCCAATTTTCAATTTCAGCTAATCACAATTTGAATGACAATTGCGCGTTCATGCAACACTGTACCCATATGAATTTTTTAGTATTTTTTGAGACAGATACAGGTGTATTTTGGTGGTATTTATTCACCACTAGGATTTTTATTTTTTTTGCTATATAAATGAAAAAGTCCAAAAAGTCCAAAAATTTTGAAAAAAAGTGTTTTTGCAAAAAAATAATCTTTCTTCATAAATCTTGGCCAAAATGTATTGTTATCTTTTTAGTAAAAAAAATAACCCATATTAGTTTATAACCAAAAATTATAATTTTTTAAAACAAATTTTTGTACATTTTTATTTTATTTTTTTATATTATTATTTATTTATGTTTTTTTACATACTGTCACCCTAGCAGTACAGTGTCACCATGGTGACACTGTATAACTTGTGGGGGGTTATAAAGATTTTTTTTTTTTTTTTTTTACACTGATTGCTTTTACACCCATAAAGGCTGTAAAAGCAATCATTTTTCCTTCTCTCTGGCTGCATTCTTGCAGCCATTGAGAAATACTGTGTGAGCTGTGATTGGTCACAGCTTGTCACATGGCACAAGGCTGTTGTGAATAGCCTTGTACCATGTGACCTCTGTGATCATTCACAGATTTCACACGTAGTAAGCAATGATGTCAAAAGTGACATCTTGCTTACTACTCTTCATGTGATCACTGATTGGCTAATCAGTGATCACATGGTCGGGACCTCGCACAGTGGTGATCAGTGTTCCACTGTTTCCAGTTTATAAACAGCCGCCAGCCCCGGCACTGCCACCGTCTCCGGCCGTCTATATACAATGGCCAGACGGGAAGTAGTTAAACAGCAATAAACAAGATTATCAAGAAAAAAAAAACATTTGCAAACCTCTACCTCAAAAGTTGCTGACAAATTCCACCTTATCTCAGACCCTGATGTGATGTTTTATTTATATATATATATATATATATATATATATATATATATATATATATTATACACATGGTGGATAGAAAATGTCTACAAACCCCGTTAAAAAGTCAGGTTTCTGTGATGCAAACAAATAAAGCAAAAATAAAATAATTTTAGATTTTTTTCCACCTTTAATGCGACTTATAATCTGTACAACTCAATTGAAAAAGAAACTGAAATCTTTTTTTGGGGGGGAGTAAACATAAAAAACTAAAAAAATGTGGTTGCATAAGTGTGCACACCCTCTTATAACTGGGGATGTAGCTGTGTTCCGAATTAACCAATCACATTTAAAATCGTGTTATATAGGAGTCACCTGCCATCATTTAATGTGCCTCTGATTAACCCCAATAAAAATTCAGCTGTTCTAGTAGGTCTTTACTAACATTTTCTTAGTCACATCCTATAGCAAAATTGTCCTCAGGGAGCTTCCAAAGCATCAAAGGGATCTCATTGTTAAAAAGGTATCCATCAGGAGAAGGGTACAAAATAATTTCCAAGGCATTTGATATATCATGGAACACAGTGAAGACAGTCATCATCAAGTGGAGAAAATATGGCGCAACAGTGACATTACCAAGAACTGGACATCCCTCCAAATGTATATAAAGATGAGAAGAAAACTGGTCTGGGAGGCTGCCAAGAGGCCTACAGCAACATTAAAGGAGCTGCAGGAATATCTGGCAAGTACTGAAGTACTGGCTGTGTGGTACATGTGACAACAATCTCCCGTATTCTTCATGTGTCTGGGCTATGGGATAGAGTGGCAAGACGGAAGCCTTTTCTTACAAAGAAATTCATCCAAATTCATGCAAAATACATCCAAAACATCCAAATACATCCAAATCCAGCTAAATTTGCAAAAACACACCTGAAATCTCCCAAATGCATGTGGAAAAATGTTTTATGGTCTGACAAAGCCAAGGTTGAACTTTTTGGCCATAATTCCAAAAGATATGTTTGACGCAAAAACAACACTCCACATCACCAAAAGAACACCATAACCACAGTGAAGCGTGGTGGCAGCATCATGCTTTGGGGTTGTTTTCTTCAGCTGGAACTGGGGCCTTAATAAAAGTTGAGGGACTTTTGAACAGTTCCAAAAAACAAGTCAATATTGGCACAAAACCTTCAGACCTCTGCTAGAAAGCTGAAGTCTTTCAGCATGACAATGACCCAAAGAATACATCCAAATCAACAAAGGAATGGCTTCACCAGAAGAAGATTGAAGTTTTGGAATGGCCCAGCCAGAGCCCAGACCTGAATCCGATCGCAAAATCTGTGGGGTGATCTGAAGAGGGCTGTGCACATGAGATGCCTTTGCAATCTGACAGATTTGGAGTGTTTTTGCAAGGAAGAGTGGGCAAATATTGCCAAGTCAAGATGTACCATGCTGATAGACTCAAAAAGACTGAGTGCTGGAATAAAATCAAAAGGTGCTTTAATAAAGTATTAGTTTAAGGGTGTGCATACTTATGCAACCACCTAAAAGATTTCAGTTTGTTGTTCAACTGAGTTGTACAATTTATAAGTTACATTAAAGGTGGAAAAAGTTCTGAAATTATTTATCTTTGTCTCATTTTTTTACATCACAGAAACCTGACATTTTAACAAGGGGGTGTAGACTTTTTATATCCGATGTAAATGTGTATATATTATGTACATACAATAGTTTCCACTTGAAAAGAGCAACATCCATTTCCTAGATTTCAGCCCTGGGAATTGGGTTTTAATACACCTAGTGGCTCTATTACAAAATCACTCCCAAGACATTATTACCATAACTCTACCCCAGCCATGAGCTAGCATTTTTCAGTACCCTCATCAATGTACCCACCTTACACTTCACATTAGGGTTTTCAAAGAATGCATGACCAGCCAAACCTAAGCCCACCTCCCTCATCTTTATCTTCCCATTCTGAATCACCCATAGGTGTCAGCAGAGGCCATGCTTCCTTACATGCTTCCCCATTTCCTGTTTATGAAAATTTGTAAATTTTAAGTTTTGTTTACTGCTCTAACTTATAGTTATTTACCTCCCTAGCGGTCTGATTATGTCAGTATTTCTGTGCTCAAAGCAGTACATTGTAATCCCGAGTGTAGCTCAGGGTTACTGCTTCTGGTACAGAACGTTAACCCCAAGCTACACTCGGGAATACCGTCGGGGGGGTTAAATATCTTTTTTTTTTTTTAAATTGGGGTTTACTCTGTCAAATAATTTTGCTGTATTAACTTTGCTTATTGAGTCTCAGCAGAACTATAAAAAAATATGTTTTATAGTTGAAGAAATGGGGTCCAGAGTTGGGTGGCTTGATCATAAGGACATGTTTCCCATCTAATGCTCTAATGCAATTTAGGAAGTTAGTTTTCTTCCAAAACTCATTAGCTATTTCTACCCACAAACTGGCTGTTGGTTATGGCATGATTGATTTTTTCAGTTCTTCCCAGAGTGCGAAAAAGTTCATGCACTCCTAGAGATTTCCATTAAAATGATGGTATAGTGAGGTGAAACTGGCACCAGTGGCAAGTTACCTGCAATACAAATTACACTGGCAAGTTACACAAAATTGAAAAAAAAATAAAAAAAATCAACACAGGGAAAAAAAAATTGGCATGTTATCAAAGACCTACCTTAACCGCCTCCCGCCCGCCATATAGTAATATGACGGACGCAAGGCGGTTCTCTCGTTCTGGGAGGACATCATATGACGTCCTCCCATTCTAACCGTGCATGCGTGGCTCCCGGAGCGTGCAACACGGCGATCGGCGGTGTGCTGTGTCCCTCGGACACAGCGGATCACCGATCCACGGAAAGAGCGGGAGAGGTCGGCTAGGTTATGTGATCAGCTGTGTCCAATCACAGCTGATCACATGTAAACAAGAAAATGCCGGTAATCGGGATTTCTCTCCTCAGAGCTGTCACGCTGACAGCTCGTGAGGAGAGGAGAGCCAGTAATCGACATTCCTCGGAGGGGACATGTACACAGATCATCAGAGCACTGATGATCAGTGTGGCCTGATGAATGATCTGTGTAGCCCCAGCAGCGCCACCTGTCAGTGTCCATCAGTGCCAGCTCTGAGTGCTCATCCATGCCACCCAGTGCCTATCAGTGCCCATCAGTGCCACATGTCAGTGCCCATCTGAGCTGCCTTTCAGTGTCACCCATCAGTGCTACCTATCAATGCCAGTCAGTGCCACCTTTCAGTGCTGCCAATCAGTGCCAGTCAGTGCCGCCTATCAGTGTGCATCAGTGCCCTCTATCAGTGCCGCCTAACAGTGCCAGTCAGTGCCAGCTAACAGTGCCAGTCAGTGCCACCTATCAGTGCCAGTCAGTGCTGCCTCTCAGTGCCATCTATCAGTGCCATCTATCAGTGCTATATATGAGTTCTGCCTTTCAGTGCCCATCAGTGATGCCTGTCAATGCCCATCAGCACCACCTACCAGTGCCTCCTCATCAGTGCCCATCAGTGCCACCTATCAGTGTCCATCAGTGCAGCCTATCAGTGCCCATCAGTGCAGCCTCAATAGCGCACATCAGTGAGGGAGAAAAATCACTTATTTACAAAATGTTATAACAAAAACTAAGAAAAAACATTTTTTTCAAAATTTTCAGTGGTTTTTGGTTTGTTTAAGAAAAAATAAAAAACCCAGACGTGATTAAATACCACTAAAATAAAGCTCTATCTTTCACAAAAAAATGATAAAAATTTCATATGGGTACAGTGTTGCATGACCGCGCAATTGTCATTCAAAGTGCAACAGTGCTGAAAGCTGGAAATTGGCCTGGGCAGGAAGGGGGTATAAGTGCCCTGTAGGCTAGTGGTTAAAGGAACTAACAGTTGTTCTTCAGTGCTAAAGCTCCATATCATGTTGGGCATTCATCTCAGATGTCCTCATACAAGGTCTAATAATTGATCAAAGGTTGCCACCGATGTCCTTGTAAAATTGTTGAACTTTTTTAGGTGACTACGCATTTCTCCAAACATAAGGTAGACAATAGATGGACACTTGGAGGACAAGGGATGCAAGCAATAGATACAATGTCTCCTCTGCTGGATCAGTTCCATCTGTCTCTTTATTATCATTCTTATAAGCAGCTAAATCAGCATAGCAATTAGATATCTTCTGTATTCCATTTTCAATTATCACACTTCGGCAAAGGTTAAAGTCATCCCACTGAACAAAAACACAGGTACTGAACAAAGACACAGGAAATAGGAGGGCAAAAATGCACTATGGCTAGTCAAGGGACCAAAAAAACCCACAGTTACTATAGCAATGGCAAGAATGTACCATGTCAGCTAAACACTGCAGCATGTAAATGCAAATAATCACTGTTAATCACAATGTACAACCACAATGATCACTGTGCCAGTCCTGGAATTTCATAATAACAAAACATGTATCTGCAATTTAAATTATGGAATAGCCAAATTTTAATGGACTGCCTCCAGAAAGCATGAACACTCCATGGTGCCATTGCAGCAGTGAATGATGTGTTTAGAGCTGGCTGTCTCGTTCCACCCATACGAATTGCATTACAGTGCAAGTCATATCACATCCAATGTTCTCAGTCCTGAGGAATAGGGAGGCATTTCCCTCAACATATGTTGGATTTACCTCATGCACTCTCTCAATAAACATTTAAATAGACCCCTAAGTGTTTTGGAATTTTGTACTGGGTGCTCTTCAACACACAACCACTGGAACATACAACCCCAATTCCCCCAAAAAGTTTGGTGGAATGGTGGTGCATTAATGTGTATGGAATGAGCAGCTTGTACATTTGGAAAGGCACCATCAATGCTGAAAGATATATTCAGATTTGAAAGCAAAATTCCCAAAACTCCAGCATCTGGTCTCCTTAGTTCCCAGATGTTTACAGAGTGTTGTAAGGGATGTTACACCATGGTAAAAATGGCCTGTCCCAAGGGAAACTGGAATTGGGGTTGTTTTATGCCAGCTTTTTGTTGCCCTGTCCCAAGTTTTTTGAAACATGTTGCTGACATCAATTTAAAAACAAACTTATTTTTTCAATAAATAGTTAATTTTCTCAGTTTAAACATTTGATATATTTTTTTATTGTTAATAAAATATGAATTTTTGAGAGTTGCAAATTGTTGCATTTTGTTTTTATGTACAATTTTACATAGCATCCCAACTTTTTTTGGAATTGTGGGTTGTATATGGCTATGTAACTTTGGATGGAAATAACAGTGGCTTAGCTAATTTAGTAAGTATAGCCTGTCACAGCTATGCCAGCATATAGGATAAGATGTATAGGGTTCTTATAGAGAATGCTAGGACCGTAATTACTCAACTGGGGCCCTGTATATTTTCCTTTTAGTTTATGTAGGCACTGTTTAAATTTTTATACAAGATAATTTGAATTCAACATATAATTAATTGCTAGTAATGGAATTAGATATTTCTCAGTGCATTTATCCATCTTATGTATTTACTTGGTAACTGCATAGTGAGCAGTTCTGTTTTTTAACTCAAACTAGTGATATGTTCAGCTTTACAGCTTTTCTTTCTTACTTCAATATCTGACAAACAAAAGTATTACTTTGTAAATCCCCAAGCCACACATTTTAATTTGTGTCATTTTAAATCCATTTTGTATAATTTTAAAGTGATTACGTTTAGTGTTTGTGTCCCCACTAGCTGAAATACTTTGCCTGGAGCTCAAATTATATCCTGGCACTGCCAACCACAAAGAAGTCCACCCATGTCAGTCTTTCAAACCTGACAAGTCAATAAAAAAATAATTTCATGTTTGCTTTCTTGAACGTTTGACTGCCTCTGCTTAGCTCTTCTGCTAAATGTTAGTAAATAGATTACAGGATTTTAAATACTGGTAAAGCAGATAACTTTTTGACACAAGTTGGTAAATAAAATTTGCCTTTAAAGAATATGTAAACCCAACATTTACTGTTCCTGATATGTGCCTGCTGTACCATGTACATGTATGAAAAGTATCCTGTTCTTTTTGTATTGCTTCCTATGTGTGAAAACACCTGGCGACAATGCCAGTCCTTCTGCTTGGCTATTTAAAAACTGACTACACTAGGCACAGGGGTTGATTGACTAAAGGCAAATAGACCTTGCACTTTGCAAAGTGCAGTTGCACTCTGCAAGTGCAGTTACTCAAGAGCTAAATGAGGTACAGCTTCACTTTGCAAAGAATACCCAATCACGTTCAGGGAAAACAAAGAACTTCTGCTCATTTACTAAGATCTGGAGCAACTGCTCTTGCAGAGAGCAATTGAGCTTTGCAAAGTGCACAGCCTTTAGTAAGTCAACCCTACAGTGTGGTCAGTTTTCTAGCTAAGCTGGGAACTCACCTTGCTCTCCTCCAACGATCAGTCTGGTGCTGACAGACCCCACCTACACAGCCATTCACTAGAAAGATCAGTGTACTGCTGTTTCTCCTCCACTAGGTCTCTGAGCAGCTTATGCAGCTGGGAACAAAGGGTATGCGATCAATTATAAAAAGGGGAAAAGGCATTTGTAATGGTTTTTTTTATATGTATACACAAACATTTTGCCTTTCATTCCTATTTGAAACTGAATGGGTTGTTTTACAAGGTGAGGGTTTATATATCCTTTAAAGTTGAACTCTAGGCAAAAGCTTCATATAAATAAGAAACATATATATGGGAGCTGCTTTATCAGACAGAATATGAGTTTCTGTCAATACAGTTCTGAGATTTACACAGCTGTGCCATACAACACAGCCCTGTCTGGCAGAACGGGAGCCCTGACTTTTCTGTGTTGCAATTTAGTGAATGAGACCAGTGACTAAGAAGCATTGATGGGCTTATCTCTTTGTAACTCTGCTCTCTTCTCTCCTGTCAGCAAGTTCCTTGATAGCATTACAGAATGACTGAATCCATGTGCTGTTTCTTCCTCCCTCAGTCTGAGCCCTACTGTGCAAGGATTGCAAGATGTCAGTAACACATCAAATTCAGGAACTTATGCAGCTTTCATTAAAATACATCTAATGATGTATTGATAAATACAGAGCTGCGTCTTTTATATCTGGCTGGTTACACTGTTCAACAGGTAAAAAGTTTTGGGCATAAAATTAGCTAATCTTACATAATTTTGGGGTGCTGAAAACGAAAATGACCCTAAAAAAAAATGTTGATTGGCTCTAGTTTCCATGATATATTCACCCCATCTAATGACGTAAGCCATTCAAAATTATGATGCAACTTCAGCTGCATATTGCGCAATTGATACTGGTGACCAATAGAAAATTGCATGTATACTGAGATGATGCAATATTAGCCTTTAATTGCATCACTTCACTGCATAAAAGCTGCAGTATCTGTAGCTGATTGTAGTTCGACAGCGTCTTTTACATTTCGTTTTATGCTTATATAGGCTACTCAGTAATGCCTCGAACTTGTGTGAATAAAGCAGATAATTTCTGCTATATCTGCGGTGAAATAACTTTTATCTCACAAAAAAGGAGGATAACAGGAATGATTAAGAAAGCCTACAACTTGTATTTTGGCTGCAAGATAGGAGACCAGGACAAGAGCTGGGCACCACATATATGCTGCAATTCTTGTGGGACGGCACTGGAGCAATGGTTGAATGGAAAAAAGGCATCTATGCCTTTCGCTGTGCCAATGATTTGGAGAGAGCCAACAGATCATGTTAGTAATTGTTACTTTTGTATGGTGCCTCCAATTGTAAAAGGGCTAAATAAGAAGAAAAAGTTATCTGTGCACTATCCAAATATTCCATCGGCAATACGTCCAGTTCCTCATGGAGAGGGGCTACCAATTCCTAAAGCACCAGAATCCTTCGTGGTTGAGTCAAGTGAGGAAGAACCTGAAGCGTGTAGTCACGTGCAGTTGTAAGAGATAGCCCTTTCCTCGAATACAAGAGAAAAGCCAAGAGAAGCAAAACCGACACAAACTGAAGACAAAACTAGTGAGAATCCTAAGTATTAAAATGATTCAACTTAGCTTATGGCTATAATTTTTTCTTGGTAATCCTATGCAATATATTATGCCATTTAGGCTTTGTTATGTAGTCAATATCACTTGCTTTATATTTGTGGAAAGACATCTATCTATATAATTATTGTGCATTATGTAGTCATTACGCCTATAGGAGAAAACTTTCCGTTTACAGAAAAACTAGAGCCAATTGACAAATTTCATTGTTATATTTGAACTCAGAATGTGAAATTCATTAAGAAATGGATCCTTTTGTTTCCAAAACTGGCAAAAAATAAAAATTTGTTGAACAGTGTTATCAACTCTAAAGTGAAACTGTCAGGCCCTACAAAATGTTTAAATTGGTAAAGTGCATTAATTGTGGTTATTTGAGTGTACCTATATCTCTCTCTGTGAAGGCTTAC